ATTTTCACCAGATGCTCACTTTTTTGGAAACTATCAGTCACGACTCAGGTGACCTTGGATATAGAGCTAAGAGACTGGGTCATTATAGATTATAAATTACATTAAATGAATCATATTTTTGCTCACAGAGAACTATCAGTTAGAGAAAATTTACAAAATAATAAACACCCAGTATTCAACTTTAATTTCATCAGCTTAACACTGATTATGTCAGAGAGAGTTTCTCTATGTATAATAATTTTAGACTGTAGCACTCATGGTGAACTCTGCTGGGCTCCCCTTTGGTATTAGCTTTCTGACAACCTCTTTTGTTTCAGACTCTGCACAGTTCATCTCAGACGTGTTCTAACCAGGTCTCCCCCAGTTTAGTCGATTCAGGACTGTCCTCTCCCCAGCTCACTTTTTGATGCTTTCTAAGCATTCTGCTACACACATGGAATGCATAAATATTTGTTGAATAAATGCATAAACCGTCAGTTCTGCTTAGTGTGAGCTGTTCACGCCAGCACTCAATTTTTACTCGGCCTAGCCCCCTGTTAGAAATTAGATCTGAGCAGCTGTGTGACACACCAGTGCCTCAGTAAATAGGCAGGGAAAAGGGAGGAACGTTGGTCAGACAGGGGAACTGTGTGGGTTAGGCTCTCCTGAGAGACAGAGAGAACCAGGAGGATGTGTGTGTGTGTGTGTGTGCTCAGTCATGTCTGACTCTGTGACCCTGTGGACTGTAGCCCACTAGGCTCCTCTCTGTCCATGGGATTTCCCAGGCAAGAACACTGGAGTGGGTTGCTATTTCCTACTCTAGGGGATCTTTCCAACTCAGGGATCAAATTTGTGTTTTTTGCTTTGCTTGCATTGGTAAGTGGATTTTTTACCAGTAGCGCTACCTGAGTTTTTTCAAGGAATTGGCTCCTGTGATTGTAGGAGCTGGTAGGTCCCAAATCTGTAGGGCAGGCTGGAAACTCAGGATTTCTATGTGATAGCCTTGATACAGAATTCCCTTTGCTTTGGGAAACCTGCTTTTGCTCTCAAGGCCTTTCACTGATTGGATGAGACCTACCCACATTATCAAGGATCAACTCCTTTATTTGACGTCAACTGATCATAGATGTTCATCACATCTACAAAAGACCCTCACAACATTGTCTGGACTAGGGATTGACCGAACATCTGGGCACTAGAACCTCTCCAAGCTGACATCCCAGAACTAATGCCAGGGAGCTCATGCAGTCTGAGGTATGCAGGTGGTAGAAAACATTTGGCCAATGATCCAGTTAAGGATCCAGAGCTGATATTCAGGATAGTGGTGTCCTGGTGGTGGAGGTGGCCTAGTAGCAGATGTTCCCAGGCGGTGAAAACACTTGTGCTGATGTGCTTTTACTCATATGGGTCTTCTCAGCCCATCTGATCATGTGTGGTGCTCTAGTGCCTTTGGCCTTAATCAAGAAATCAAGGCCAGAGCCTAGTCATGTGACTTGGCCATAGAAATACCATTTGGAGGAAGACTGTGTCTCTATCCTTTTTGCTTTTTGTTTTTTTTTTTCCCTTAACTGCCCAATTATTTACTCAGTCTGAAAATTAGGCAAAATTTTCACTCTCTGCATAGTTAATATTTTATAAAACATGCATAAATTATAGCTCATGTGCCTAAAAACATATAATAATGCTATTATATACACATAAGATATAAACATTCCTTTGATCAGCCAACTATTTAATGAACTCAGGTCTGATATACTATCACTAACATCACCCATAACAACTTACATATTGTCTATACAACTATAAATAAGTACTTTAAAACAATAATTCACTATTTTTTTTAAAAGTCAAATGCCACTGGCAAATGAAAGCTTTTCTAACCTATGCTGTTTTACCAAATGTGAAGATTTATCTAAGTTATATAAGAGTTGTGTTCTTTTTGTATACAAATATATCTGAAAAACATAAAAGCAGTCCAGTGATGTTTCCACCATGATGAATCCGGTCATAAAATGATATATTTACATTTAGATACCCCACACTATGTATTTCTCACAACCTAAAAGTTGTGTCTAATGAACATACTGATGTTGTTCATCAACATACTGATGAACATAATATCCAATGAACATGCTGAGAGGATGGAGGGAACACTTCTTTTGCAAACAAAAATATTTCTGTCCTATTAGGTCTCTGTCTTTTTTGGATCCTCCCTTGGAGCTCAGCTGTGGGAGGAGAGTAGGTCGGGGTGGTGGTGGTGGGTGGGGGGGGAGCGCTCAAGAAATGGTGCTGGCTGGAAAGCTGTCTCCAGGTACCAAGAGATGTAATGATGACAAGAACATTACCCTGTGAATCAGGAGACCTGGATTCCAGACCCAACTCCAGGTGTGACCTTGGTCTCCTCATCTGTAAGATGGGAATTATAACACCTCCCTTCTTTCCTCAAAGAACAGTCGTGAAGCCCATTTGAGAACAGGGAGAGAGCCCCACTTACGGGACACTTATGAGCAGGTCACACAGTGTAGGTGACAGCTTCATGTCATGGTGAAACACAGCAGGACTTACGGCCCTTGTCTCCCCCCACCATGTCCTCTGCCTGCCCTATGTGTGTGGAGAACTTTAGCCAAAGGTTAAGTTTAATCAGAGAGTGAGAAATGCAGAAACAAAGGAAAACAGTCAAAGGAGACTAGATAGTAATAATGTTATCCTTTAGCATCGTCAAGAATCTTTGGTTCTTTCTCAAGGTCTACAGATAGTATTCTGGGCCATCTCCTGTGAGCTGTCTTACAGATACCAAAACACCAGGTGGAGAAGTTAACTCCAGGATGACCAGGCTGTACCCATGACATGAGCTGCCACAATTCTGAGAACTGGCCTCAAAGAAATCGAAACAAACAGACCTTGGAATGAAAGATTGGACCTAAACAATCAAGATGATGCTGCTCAGACCACTGATGACCAATTTAAAGATGACTGTCAGAGGTGACTGTGCTATTTCTGTATGTAGCCCCCTACTTCTGTCTATAAAAGCTCTTGCCCCATTGGTTGCCATCAGGGGGTGGGGGGAGTCCCCCACCTTTTGGACAGACGTCTGCCACCCTTCCCCGACCCCAGCTGCCAGCATGTGAAATAAAGCAAACTTTCCTTTCCACCAGCCTGGTCTGCTTACTGGCTTTTGAGTGGCGAGCAGCTGGGCCCCACCTACACTCATTTCAGTAACCATAGAGAGAACACAGGCTTGCACCACGCCGTTCCTGGGTTTGAACTCTGCTCTTTCACTGAGAGGTGTGTGGGCTTGGCCACGTTTGTAGAACTGCTTGCCACTGTTTCCTCATTTCTAAAATAAGAACAGGATGACTGTACTCATTTACTAGGGCTGCCGTAACAAGGTGCCACCGACTGGGGGGAGAGGGCTTAATGCACCAGAAGTGTATCATCTCACAGTTCTGGAGGCTGGCAGTTCAGAATCAAGGGCAACTTCTTTCCTCGTCCCTTCTAGCTTCTGGGGTTGCTGGCCACCCTTGGTGTTTCTTGGCTTGTAGATGCATCACTCCAATCTGCCTCCAAATTCACAGGGTCTTGTCTTCTCCTTTGGGTGTCTGTGTTCAGATTTCCCACTTCTTTATAGAGACACTGGTCACTGGGTTTGCTCCACCTTCCCCATTCCAGTATGACCTCATCTTAACTTGACTCTATCTACGAAGATCCTATTTCCAAGAAAGGTCACATTCACAAGTCCTTTTGAGGAGACACAAATCAATCTGTAACAACAGCCCATCATCACAGGGGCCTGAAGAGTGTCTGGCACACAAGAGGGGCTCAGTGAATGGGAGTTATCATTATCATGGAAAAGATAGGAGGAAGGATCAAAATCCCCCTTCATTCACAAGACAGACACATCCATCACCGCAGTGATTATGACCAGATCCTCACATTTCTTTCTGGTTAAGCCTGGAGAGCTTGGGATTTTGATGCTGTCTCATCTTCCAGATGATGTAGCCTCTTTGCCCAAGCTGGGCTGCAATGATGATGCACACTGAAGCCCAGACCAGGACAGTGGTCTTCTGACTGCCTGAGTGGACTCTGAGACAAGAAGTCCTTCCTCCTGGAGAAACAGGCCACAGATCCTGATGCGCTGGCTGGGGCTGCAAATATAGATAACTCCTTTCTCGGGCTGAGACTCGGCCCAGGGCTGAGACTCGGTGCTTGGGAGTCAGTGCTGGAGGGTCTTCAGCAGGTACATGGGGTGAGCTCTGGGTTCCTCGCTGTTGAGCAGCTTTGTGGTGCCAGGTGCTAGAATACATCATGTTGGCATGACCTTGGATGCCTAAAGTGACTAGTTCATTGGGGAAATCCATGCAATAGATGTGTGCTTAGAGCCAGGTTGGATAAGGGTTACTATTCCCTCTCCGGATGCTCCCCCCACCAGCCGGTAACTTTGACGTTGCATCCAGCCCCTACTGCCCATGGGTGAGCTTTCACAAGCGCATTTTTACACTCAGTCTAGTCCTTCCTTTTGAAAGGGAGGCAGAAGAGGCTATAAGTGATGTTACATTATCTGCTCTTTATTCTCCAGTACAGATAATCAGAAGAGGGAGTCTGCATTGCCTCAGCAGGTGCAATGCTCAGAATGAAGAGAAGCAGGTCTGAAGGTTGCCAAAAGCTTTGAGAAATCTGCGGCGACTCATCTGGGCTAGGGACCCACCACCTTGGAAGAACCTGAGTAACCCACGGGTCCAATTGCCAACACTCTATGAACCAAGGGTTGAATGATCGTTCTTGGCCATTCCTATGCAGTGAGGCAGAAGCATTATTTTTACTGGAAAGCCCCCAAGTGTGACTTTTCCATTCCTCCTGTTTGCAAGTCCTCACAGCTGATGGGGGAGAAAATAGCCTGGCACATTTGCATTGAAGTCTTGAAATCTAAATATTTCTGTGAGTCATTCATTATTACCATATAACTCAGTGTTTGCATGCAAATAACTCTAATGCCATAAATGCTTATAAAATAAATCTCTTACCATATGAACTCGGTAAAGAATGCTAATTCCCAGAGTCATGAATGGCTTCGAGAAATCAATCACTTTCTCCCGTTCTGCAGTAATGGTGAGACCCGCCACGGCCAGATCCGCTTTCTGAAAGGAACAGAGGGACGTCATCAAAGGGGTGGCCCCATGAGATGGGGGCAGAGGGATTTGTGACCAGAGACCGCCAGTGATGGGGAGGTGCCACTCTGGTCTGGCTTCTCTGCTTGGGGAGTGACTCTAAGCAGCCAGAGGTCTGGACAATCAGTCATGAGAGGACATGGATGTTGAAGCTGTAACTCGTGTCCATCTCAAGTACGTGTGGGTGCTCAGTCGCTTCAGTCCTGTCCGATCCTTTGTGACCCTACAGGCTGCAGCTCACCAGGCTCCTCAGTTCGGGGATTCTCCAGGCAAGAATACTGGAGTGGGTTGCCATGCCCCTTTCCAGGGGATCTTCCTGACCCAGGGATCGAACTAGTGTCTCCTGCATTATAGGGAGATTCTTTACCACTGAGCCCCTGGGGAAGCCCTCATCTGAGGTTAGACCCCTTTAAATATGTAAATTAGTATAAAAAGGGAGGCTCACTGTGGACCGTTCAGACAGAGACTGAAAACGCCCTAGGCAAGGGAGAATTGGCAGACAGAACTTCTGGATACTCAATAATGAGTAGTTTTTTATTCAACTGATGAACTTGTTCAGCCAACAAACAAGTCCCAGTGTTGTGTGAGCTTTGGTGAGGGAGTTACAGTGGAAAATAAAAATGATGGCTCCTCGGAAATTACAGGCAATCTAAATCAACCGCATTTATCTCCCAGGGAGGAAATGAAGGCCAAAAATTGAGCCAGCGGCCCAATGTCACAAGCTTGTCTTTGTCAGAGGCAGGACTGCACCCCAGGCTTCCTGGACCACTGGCCTTATGTTGCTGTCAGGGTCAGAACCCAGGTGCCACAGCAGAACTCTGAGAAGGGTCTCTGTTCCCTCTTATGTGAAGTCACCAGATGTTTCTGCACCTCAGGTGCCCACACCTGATGAGAATCTTTCTTGAATTAAGATCCCCTGAGAAAGGAAGTGCTGTCAGCTCCTCCATATACCTGTCAGGAAGTTCTTCTTGTGTCTAACTTCAATCCACCCTGCTGCAAAGCAAGCTCACTTCCTATTGGCCTGCTCCCCTATACATAGAGTGGTGGGAAAGGCCCAGAGTGCTGTTCACTTCTGGCCATGCTCTGCCCTAACTAGCTAACCAACCTAAACTAGTCACTTCATTTCTCTTGGCTTCCTTTGTTTCACCTGCAAACCAAGGGCGTGGGGTTTAGACAGTGCCAGGATCCTTCCAAGCAATTCTCCGACAGTGATTTTCAAAGTGTAGTCTAGGATCACCTGCATTAGAATCACCTTATTCTTATTAAAGAGTAAGAATGTTAAAGAGTAAAGTGCTTATTAAAATGTGAATTCCTGAGTTTCATCCCAAACCGCCTGGATCAGACTCTGGTCATGGGGCCCGGGAATCTGTAATTGTGACAAGTTGCCCAGGTGATTCTGACTTATACCAATATTTAAGAATTATGTTTTATAACCAAGGCATGTATTTCAGACTGGCCTCCATCAAGGTTTACATTTCAGCTTCTTCTACCACTAATTCTGGTGGATCTGTTGATACACAAGGTGGAGAAAGAAAGGGAAAGTGAGGTGTTTTAACAATCTACAAACCGGCCAATAGGTTCTGAATGAGAACACACACACACACACACACATGCACACACACATACACATGCTACACATGTGTGCAATTTTTCCCTAAATCATTGCAAAGGAAGTAAGGAGACAGATGTGTCACTCGTCACTTTATACACAAAGGGATTTATGATTTGCACATCCATTGACAAAAGTCAGTTTCTTGTCCATCTCAGCTCCACTCCTCCACCCCCAATTCATGCTAAAGCAGCCACTCGATCCAGCATCAGTTAACAAGGTAGAGCCTTATAAAGTGAAAGTGAAAGTATCAGTCACTCAGTCATGTCTGACTCTTTGCATCCCCATGGACTGTAGCCCACCAGGATCCTCTGTCCTTGGAATTCTCCAGGCAGGAATACTAGAGTGGGTAGCCGTTCCCTTCTCCAGGGGAATCTTCCCAATTCATGGATTGAACTCAGGTCTCCTGCGCTGCAGGCAGACTCTTTACCATCTGAGCCACCAGGGAGACCCTTACAAAGTGAGACCAGGCTTTTCAGTGACTAGCGTGCAGATGTAAGAGACGGTTAATAAAAACGAAAAACATGCATGCCTTTTGGGGCTCATTCTATATTTCTCCAAGAGAGGGTTGATGACTGCTGTCAAGTGAACCCACCCTTGAGGAGGCAGTGAAGTTTGACTAGAAGGTCGTTAGCGCCCTCATTTGTGGGGACCCTTCAGAGGGCTTTGGGGACCCTCAGAACTTCAGCCCCTTCACGGCAGTGGCTCTAACCTGAGTGCCACTCAAGAGCACACTTGCAGAGTAACGGAAATCAACCACAAAGATGCACATTTGCAGAGTAACGGAAATCAACCACAAAGATGCACATTTGCAGAGTAACAGAGATCAACCACAAAGATGCACATTTGCAGAGTAACAGAGATCAACCACAAAGATGCACATTTGCAGAGTGACGGAGATCAACCACAAAGATGCACATTTGCAGAGTAACAGAGATCAACCACAAAGATGCACATTTGCAGAGTAACAGAGATCAACCACAAAGATGCACATTTGCAGAGTAACAGAGATCAACCACAAAGATGCACATTTGCAGAGTGACGGAGATCAACCACAAAGATGCACATTTGCAGAGTGACAGAGATCAACCACAAAGATGCACATTTGCAGAGTAACAGAGATCAACCACAAAGATGCACACTTGCAGAGTGACGGAGATCAACCACAAAGATGCACATTTGCAGAGTAACGGAAATCAACCACAAAGATGCACATTTGCAGAGTAACGGAAATCAACCACAAAGATGCACATTTGCAGAGTGACGGAAATCAACCACAAAGATGCACACTTGCAGAGTGACGGAAATCAACCACAAAGATGCACATTTGCAGAGTGACGGAAATCAACCACAAAGATGCACATTTGCAGAGTGACGGAAATCAACCACAAAGGTGCACATTTGCAGAGTAACGGAAATCAACCACAAAGGTGCACATTTGCAGAGTAACGGAAATCAACCACAAAGATGCACATTTGCAGAGTGACAGAAATCAACCACAAAGATGCAGCAGGTGCAACGCCGGTCCTGGGCAGGGTTACGGCAAGACAGCGGTCAAGCTCTGCAAAGACCCTGGGCGGAGGAGATAGGAGTCTAATAGCTTGGAATGAAAGAATTGAAGAAAAGAATAGAAAAATGAAAACTGATACGATGGGCAAGAGGTAACCACAGCATCCTGTCCTTTTTCTGGTTATTAAGAAATAAATAGATACATCCAAACCAAGTAACCCAAACCAACAACTCTATCCTCAAGTTTCTCCCCACTGCCCCCACCAAAACAGCCTTCTTCCCAAAAGGGCGAACCTCAGACTGCAATTTAGAAATCATTTCACAAGTTTATAAAGTCAGCCAACAACAACATTATGGTAAAACGATTCCATATGGAGAGGAAACTAGAAATGGACAGCATCCCAGGAGGGTGCTTTCCTGGATAGAAGCAGAAAGACCACACACCCCGGGAGAACGTCTGTCCCAGCCTCAGACAGGGCACTTCTGTCTATTCTCAAATAGACGCTTCCCCAGACTAGACAAAACAGAAAACTGCCTCCTGGAGGCACTGCTGCCTCTTTAGCCCAGCCCTTCTCTCTCTCCTTTGTCACCACTTGAGAGTAACCTGGGTGCAGGGGAGGCAGGGAGGGAAGAGTGAGATGCTAGAAGAAGCTATGGAGGTTATGTAGTGGATTTTTTTTTCATTGACTCAGTAGCGAGCAGCAATCATGCACCATGGCTTCTGTGCAGCCCGGATTACCAGCAACAACCTCATGGGATCTGCTATTCCAAAAGGCGGGCATGTCTTTTATTTTTACCTTAGTTAAAAAGACATTATCTTGTAAAGCAGGCTTTGATGAGGAGGTCATGTGCCATGGAATCGAATTAACAGCCACAGGGGCTGGAGCTGCAGGCTGGCAACTGTGGGCATGGGAAGTCAAGGGAAGTGCGGGCATCGCGACGGATCAGCCCAGCCCTTCTGCATCTCCAGTCACTCTTTGGGGAGAGCAGTGCTCTCCAGTGAAAGAACCACAGACAGGACATCAGAAGACCTGGCTCTCATCACAGCTGGGCCATAAACTCACTGTGATCTGGCGTAAGTGATTCCACTGCCCAGGCCTGAGTTTCTCCTACTGTGAAATGAAAGGACTCAACCAGATGCTCTGAAGCTCTTGCACGTGTGCATGCTAAGTTGCTTCACTCATGTCTGACTCTTTGCGACACTATGGACTGTAGCCCGCCAGGCTCCTCTGTCCATGGGATTCTCCAGGAAGGAATCTTCCCAACCCAGGGACTGAACCCGTGTCTCTTATGTCTAACCTGCATTCGCAGGCGGATTCTTTACCACTAGCGCTGCCTGGGAAGTCCTCTGAAGCTCTTCCCCAGGCCTAAGATTCCAGACTTTCATTTTGCTGGACTAGGAAGGGAGGAACTTCCATCAGTTGGTCCCCGTTTGCTCCAGAAGATGATGGGTGGTCCCTGGAATCAATGTTTCAGAGATGTCGGGGAGGAGACTGTTTATCACCTTAGTCAGCAGGGAGCAGAGCCCAAGGCAGGAAAGCAGAAAGGCCAGAAAGATACAATGTCATCTGGAGAGGGCAGATCTGGAAGTGTACCCCAGGGGGGACCGGGAACCCAGAAAAGGGTAGGACACCTGGAGCTAGAGAAAGAAGAGAGGGAGGAATGGGAATACGGAACAGACAGAGCATTCTGTAAGCATCACGATGCTCCTGGTTACTGCGCGTGTGTGTGTGCACACACACACAGGGGTGTATAAATACATTCCCTCTGAAAGAAAGACCTCTCTCCTCTTCCCATTTTTGATTGAAAGTGTTCTTTGAAGAGCTTCATGTTCTGCCTCTGAGAGATCCCC